TTTAAATGAGTGGAAATGTGAAAACCAAAATCAAATTAAAAAAACCCAAACCAAACAACAAAAAAAACAACCAAAAACCTGAGGGAGGGGGAAGAAAAGGACACTCAGAAGGGGAACAGGAAGAACAGGGACTCGGAGAGGCCAAGCATTGAGAACTATTTCACAACAAGGCTGCAACACCAATTCCAGTTATGGGCACTGTATTTTAATGAACAGGAAATTATAAGCTACAGTTTATTAACACGGGATTAAAAGATGTGATAATAGTTCTGCTCCTTATAAACACTGATTTTATTATAAGACTAACTGTTAACATCTGCAATAAAAGCCAAAATGGAGTCATTTATGTATTCTGCTTGAGATTTCATAACACAAAGCTCTTTAAAGTCTTTAAGGGAAGCAGTGAAAGAAACTCCTGCCCCAAAAAAATAATTACAGGACTCATTGGCTGCTTTCCTTCATGCTAAATGACACATCAGAGACCCGTCGTTAATTCGATCCTATCTCTACACTACTCATGTAATGAATCAACCAGACTGGTAGCGCACAGCAGACCGAGGCAGCTCAGGAGCAGCAGCAGAGTGAACTCGCGTGGTGCAAGAGCACGGGGAAGTGCCATTTCTGCACAACTTCAGTTCTCCTTAGTTTTGTTCCTCAGGCAGGACCAGGCTGCCCTTGCCAGCGGGCAGCTCACTCACTCCCAGCCGTGAGCCGGAGCCAGGCGCCTTCGAAGGGGAACGCTGCTTCCTCACCGCCCGTCAAAGACACCCACTCAAGCTACTTCTGTACAATTCACAACCAAACCCTTCAATGACCAGGATCCACTTTCCTGTTGGTTAACGCCGAAGACAAAATAACCTCCTTAAAATCAGCTTGGACTCAGAGCCGTCCCAGAGCATTCCTTCCCCTTCCACCTGCGTTTTAAAAGGGTTTTTCTTTTCCTGCATTCTCAAGTTAAAATGACAACAGCTATGATTTTACTAATCAGGGCGAAAACTGCAGACTGGCTCCTTTCTTAGCCAGTAATTGACAGCTTGTTCATTCTACTGCCTCCCACTATTGCGCTCTAGATTCGGTGACTACGCCACAAAGAGCTGTTTAAGCACCTGCATTTCTACTCTCTCTGGGAAGAGGCCATCCTGGGGGGAAACAAGAATATCCAGCTTTCCTGAGAGGTATGGCGAGTCCCCCCAAAATCCTCGATAAGAAAGAGCAAACACAGCACTTTCCCTAAGCAGCTCTTAGAAAAACCCAAAAGTAATCTTCATGACAACTTTATGAAGACGTGAGCATCGAGGCATAAGGAGACAGGCTGAACGTCACCGTGCAGTGTTGGTACGCGCAGCTGAGGGTGCGTTTTCCCTGCCAGGTACGTTATTTCCACATTCTTCTTCCAGGCCATAAAACACAGCAGAGGCAGCAAATTTATTTGTGGGGTAGTTTCAGCTCCATTTTTGATCTCATTAAACAGAACATGTGCTACCAATACATGTAGCTTACATGCCATTTAAAAGCAGGTGACACAGTAAGGTACAAGGTTTAAGCACACTGTATCACTCCAGAAAATATTGCCTTTCCCTAATAAGTGGGGTGGATCACACTCCAAAGATCCTACACAATGTTCTCTGAAGAACCCATCTGATAAAATTTTGAGGTTTCCAGACTCCATTAAAGCTCCAAGTAATAGCAAAAATCTACCAGAAGATACCAAGCACACAGTACTAAGAATTGTCTTTTGACTACAAGTTCCAAAAGGGAATGCTTAATAAATAACTTAGGTAATACAGATTTATATATCATTTAAGAATTTAATTAATAGGAAAATGTAGATCTGTCCGCTTTTCCTTCCAAAATATCTTTTACAGAAAAGTTTGGTGCTTGCATCTGAAGGCCTATATTGTCAACAAGGTTCAGTACTGGCAAAACAACCTTCTCCTACTGCAATGATACCGTGAAAGCGTAACATTGAGCAAACATCCCAATAAAAATAAAAGTAAGGCCTTCTGTGTCTATAGCTACACTTCCAAATTGCTTAATAGCTGTTGGGAGAGATTGCATTTGAACTCTTCCTTAAGAATTATAAACATTTAATTTCACCTCTGTTTTTACCAAAATACAAATAAAGCTTCTAGTAAAAGCCATCTGAATTTAACTGCAGAACCTGCCGTTAGGCAAATGGAGCCACATCACTTTGTTTCACAAGGATCACACCAGCCTGACAACCAATGTGGTAACACAAAGCAGATCAGAAATTAAGCTAGAAATAGCAAACATGTTCAGACTATAAAAAAAGGTAATTTAAAATTATTTTAAGTCTGAATGCTGTTCAAACACACTTTGTGCTATCATTGTTAACTTAAAATAGCAAAACATTTTGTAATGTTTTAAAATTAAATTGAAAAAGTAGTAGCTGTTAATGTAACAGTTAAACTCTTTCTTTCCCAGGAAAATTAGCGTATTTAAGACCACAGTAATACAGTGCGAAATTCTACCTTTTGGGCAATAACATGGCAATTATGGTAAAAAAGTGCCTTGAAACTTGCCATTGCTTGAGTTCAAGTGCCCAAGGCAATGCTAAGCTAACATAGCTTCATTCTGATCTGGTTTTCTTAACTCTTACGTATTTTAATACATGTTGGAACAAAGCCACTCAACTCTGCAACTCTGCATTCTTCCTTAAGCAGATGATGAGACAAACACATGAGCCTGAGGACAGGGTGTATAAATGAATCATGAAAGGTATACGCCTAATTAAAGAGCACTGCTGTCACTTTTTCCAGATAAAATTCATAACAGCCTTCATCTGAGTCAAGTATGAATCAGGGTCCCTGTGCCAGTGTAAGAGAACACGCGGTGCTGAGGTTGGAGCAGCTCAAAGAGCTGCACTGAATTGTTTCTGATGAGGTTGTCGCTTAAACCAGCTTGGGACAAGCACAGCGAGAAGAGGCCAAGGAAACAACAGTGACTCTTACAAGATTAAGCTTTGCACGTATGCCAGGGCCTTACTTGTTTATGTTGCTGCCTTCTTTCAGACGTTCTCCCGCAGCTCCCGTTTTGGACACTCTCTCGCTCCCAGCCAAATCCACCAGGCTGACCTTGCTGACCTTCTCTCCAGAATTCTGCACAGGCGGGACACGGGAGAACGACAGCTAAGAAACACCGGCACAAAGCACTAACATGCCCAACACCAGCACCACGAAACACCCGTTCTTTATAATCATATGGTTTAAAATTTTAATTAAAATTAAAAACCTTTAAAGTGGTTTAAAGGATCAAATTCAAGATATGAGAGAAGAGGAATTTTCAGAGTCACTCTTTTTACACTAAAGGCCTGAGCACCAATGACCAAGAATCAGCCATGTGGTAACACCTATAACGTCGCTGGCAGAGTAGGCCATTACAATATTTCAACTTCAGCAACAGTGAAGACCCAAGATGGGTTTCCTGGGGGCAATATAATCTTTAAAAAGTGATGCAGTCATTTGCTTCGTCGTGTGTGCTTCCTCACTCTGCCAGGGTTCTCTCAATCTTACTGTCTTGCCAGCATTATTTTGATTACTGGGCCCCATGGCATCAAAGTAGAAGCACAGCTAAACACATAACGTGTGTGGAAGAAGAAAGAAGGAGAAGAATTCACCACAACTTCGTAAATTAATATATACATACCCCAGAATGCAGGTCATAAAGTGTCTGAGTCACTATAATATTGAACACAGCGTGAGAGCGGCTGCTCTCCTCATTCATGTTGGTTGCAGCAACTGTTCGTGACTTGTTTCCCTCCGACATCAGTGACTCAATGTCCTAGAGCAAAAAGTGTTAAGAAGTGATGCAAGGATAAAAGCAAGTATTGTGCTTGCTGAACAAAACCCTCACCTAGCTGGAAGGGGGTGTGTGTGCAGGGAAGAGGAAGAAGGGGAGGCAGAAGCAATGAGAAAACCCTTTTGAGATGTATTGGTACAGAGGGCATGGAATTCCACAGAACCACGTTAAATCACGTCTGTGTTTGCAGCGCAACAGCAACTACAGCCAATGAATTCTCCTGATCGGCTGCTGAAACACGGTGGCAATATCCACGTTACGAACCTTTTTGTTTAATGCCAGTAGTCAGGCCAGAACAGATCTCCTTCCACAGGCGAACACAATGCATCCCTTCACTGAACTGTGCTAATTCTGCCTTCGCTGATTGGGCTCAGAGGGTGACCTCACTTGGAGCCTGGATCCTCCCACATACATAAAAAACAAAAGATGACTCTGCCAAGTCTAATATACTTTCTCAGTGAGCCTTCCAAGATAGTTTCATAAAAGCCCTCAGTCAAAAACTAACTATGAACAAAATTTCTTGGAATTTGAACACCGAAGGTGTGTGCTTTCAAAGTACCCAGTTCACCACAAAAGCTGCAAAAGCAGTTTTTGTTAACTCCAGTATGCACAGATGCTTCAGGAAAATCATAATATAAAAAAATATAATTAAAAAGCAAAATGGTTCCCATGCAATACCACAGAAAGGATGAACATTTTTTGAAAATGAACATTTTCAGATCAGTTAACCCGTAAAAAGAAAAGTCTATGCAATTTGTACAACTGCACCGCTTTCATTATTTCATTATAGCTACAGTAGTTCTACAATACCAATTTATTTGAATGTATTTTGGTAACTCAGATCCTGTCAGGATTTAAATTACGGAAGCCATGTTGTAGCTCCTCATGCAATACACTTGTACAAAATAAGGAGTTATATTCAACAGTATCAAAGGAATTCATGCTGGAAGACTAATATTCTTATTTTGGAATATTTCCTGCATCAGGGAAACATTGTGTTCTTTCTGTGTACAAGATGCGTTGAAAATTGCAAAGTAACAAGATATCACTATTATATTTGTAACCAACGTAAAGGCAAATCCAATGTTTTTAGATGAAGGAAGTACACTTGAAGCATTAAAGAAGATCTTTGTGATTGCCCGAGAGCACAAACACTCAAGAACCAAAGCAGCTGCGTAGACACTAGTTTCTCTCTTTTAAGATTTCTGTTGCTTCTGTATGTAGGTGTTATTTATAAACTTGTCATTGGTTTCTATTTACCTCGAAGTTTGTAACAGCCAGCTGGGACAGGCCGTCGACATACGGTCCCAACACTTTGTGCTCTCGGACCTTAAGGGACTGCCGACTCCTATGGAACAAAGTAGAACTTTATGCACAATTCGCTATCGTGAACGTTACTGTAAAGCAAAAATCAACAGTACAAGTCTTCACTAAAGCAGAAGTCATTTTAGGTCTGTTAACTGGGAAAATATCTTCAGCAATTGTTTTTGACTCAAACTAATCTAACTGTTTTTAATATGTATACATGAGTTATTTTTAACGCAACCTCCCCATCCCAGTGTTTGTGGCTGGAACAAAACCCAAATGCAGACCAAAAAAAGAAGAATAAAAATCCACCTCCTCTGCAATTTGCCACAGCTTCGATTTGTCTTGCACTTTCTACACTTGATTGATATGTATCAAGTAAGTCTCAAATCTACCTTTTGTTAAATTCCAATTACGTTCAAGAAATCAAAACACATACCATGTATATCAATAGTCAGCTGAAAAAACCCCTATCAAACTACTTCTTGTCTAGACATCTCCAAGCCAGAGAGCCTAACCAGCATTCTCCTGAAAGAGACTGCCACAGGCATGTTCGGAGGTGTTACCCTTCCACATTCAACAAGTTCAGCATCTAAATCATGAGAACCATGCTGTAAATAAGCTTCAAACTCCTAGTTGACAAAAATTTTTATATAAATATGGTCTAGGTCACATGGCAAAAATTCTCCACACTTTACTGTGCATATTCTTGCTTTCTGGTGGCAGACAACTCCATACAGTGTTTGTTTGCATCATTACACTGGTATCCTAATATTTAAATTGATCCACAGCAGTTGGAACTTCCTACAGGAGCCTTACACATATAGTCTCTTCCTTCTGGTGTTTGCTATCTAATCCTTTCTAAAGAAGGCGGATAAAGACACGGTCTGAAGAAACCTTCTCAAGGACTTGAAAAGTGATTGCTACGTTTATAGTTTCAGATCAAACCAAGGAAGGCTGTGGAGGAGAGCAAAGCGACTCACCCTTTTGGGTCAAGCAGATCTCTGACTTTCTCATTGTAGATTTCCATATAGGACACTTCGACTTTAAAAGTATGAGATTCATTTTCTTCCACAGAGATTCTCTGAAATAAAGCACAACAGAGCCGTGGGATCAGACCCAGCTGCTCTGCATTGCCCATCATTGAAAAGGATTTTCCTGAACCTAAAGGGAAAAAAAAGGAGAAGAAAGTGCTTTAGGATGTACTTTGAGCTCCTCATTTGTTCATGAAGCACATGTTTTAATTCTCTTTTTACTCCTTCAGAAGCACAGATCAGAACACCATGACACACTATTCCGGACAAGCAGCTTCCTCTTTGGATCACAAGTTACAGGTAAACAAAAAGAGAAATTATTTTAAAGGCTCTTTTCAGCAAGACCCCTTTGAACACCCTCAAATACAAAAGACTCTGTGAGCCTTCAGCAGGAACTATTCCTTTCAGGCTTTAAAAGCAAGAAATAGCAAAAATATGTTCCACGACAGGAACATTTACAGAACTGCTTTAAGAACTTTACACTGTCACCAGCTGTGCTAAAATGTTTGACATTTAACATAATTTCAAAATACCCTTTTAAAACATTATCTCCTTAATATTTATGCTTTGTTCTTCCCACGTGCACGAAACGTGTTCAGCACAGGAGACTCACCTGTCTGTCCATAGGCAAAAATACAAGCGTTATATCCCTGAAAGGCCTTTTCAAGAATTCCTTCTCCAAGGCACTTGAACACCACTTCTTGACCTGGAAAACAATTTATTTTAAATTTAATAACAGGCTAAAATTTACTGAAAAGAGGGTGGGGGAAAAAAAAAGTTTGCAATTTGTTTTTTACTAATGAGTGCTTTGGTGAACAAACAATTTCACGTACATCTGCGTGACAGGTTCAGAACCGCTGCCTGCAACTCGTGTAACGTGCCTACCTCGGCATGTAAATATTATCCTGTGAAGGGAGCACTCCTTTGAAAGGCATCATATAAATTGAATGCTTAGAAAACAGCACAGGTGTCTAAATTTTGTAGAATTTAGGTGTAAATTTTGCAATTAATATACAACCTTCAGTCACAAACTACACCCAAAAGAGTTCTGCAACAGCACTTCAGTGAAACCCGTTGGCGAAGCAGGATCTGAGAGGTCCAATAAACATCATGCTAACAAATAGCACGCTAGCAACAGCAGCTATTTTTTTGGGAACTGGCCTCAGGTTTCACCACAAGCTATCATGATTCACCCCATGGCAAGGTGACACTGGAACCAAGATAAAAGTCTCCCAACGATGTGCAGGGAGGAAATGCAGATCAGGAGGCTGCGAGGCTTCAGCAGAGCTGTTGGAGGATACATTCTGGCAAATCTGTCCTTTGAAACCAGCTGCAGAATCTCCCAGTCTGGAAACACCACACAGAGGGTCAGTGGGTTATCTGCTTCGAGTTCTGATCAGAGAATTACAGCAGATGTGTGTACATCCAAAAGAAGAAGAGCTGAGCTAAGGGCAGTATTGAGACACCTTCTAGTGTTTGGTTTTCAACTTGCATTCGCTGCTTGGTGACTTTCGGAACAGCCATGCTCAGCTCTGTCTCTCACTTTGGTAAGTTAGTTTCAGCCGCTGTCAATTACAGGAAATTATTCTGGACAGTGGATGCAATAGTGACTTCCATAGTTCTCAAAATGGAACACACGGACATAAAAAGAAAGTTATCTAGCTATACATTTATACATTGCATGAAGTATTTACACTCAATGATCCTTGAGTAACTGGTAGTCCAGAAAACTCCTGCAGAACCACCTGGGGAATGACTTACAGGCAAGTAAATAGGACTAAAAAGTACTACGTTACTTCTATTTTCCTTTAATCTAACTTTGCTTCTGCAGTAAAGGAAACAGCAGTGGAGCGACACCCTATTGACTGGTCTTTGTGTATCTTTCCAGTCAGATTTCTAAAATTCCAAAGTGTCACTGCTCCTTGGATTAGATCAGTGATGCTGAACGCAGGAATTGCAACCAGAGGAGAATCTGCTGTACTCTATCTCCTTCCCCAAGCACATTCACTCGTTTCTCAATCAACCGAGGATTATTTGGTCAATTTATAATTGACCGAATAATTAATCAATTTATAATGTTGAGAGAGAACTGTTCAACCACCTGCAAATATCTACAGAGAATGTTAAATTACTGAAGAAGGAATGAAGAAGATTGTAATAATAATGTACAATACATAAAAATTTGCTTTCCTACCAGCTCCTGAGGGCCCACGTTGAAGTTACCAAATACGAAAGAGGCAGGGAGCCACTTACCATCTTGCTGAGCAAAAATGCAAAGATTGAGGCTTGAGCGTAATTAAGAGAAAAAAGGCATATATTTTCCACAATGGTTGTGAGTGGAGAACAAAAACATTTGTCAGAAGAGGAAAAAAGTTTTATCACATAGTTCTGACTTCCACTAAATCAGTAACCTCCTCCATGTTTCCCAAATATTCTGAAACTGTGCAGGGTCATGATAACCGTAAGATGACCCACAGAATCCCTCACTGACAAATACCAGCAAAGGAATCCAGATTGGATCTCACAGACAAAGATGGATTTTCCCCCCTGCAAAGAAATTTCATCTTCCAATACACAACTGACAGTCAATCAGATGCTGATAGGTAATTCTAAAATGGTATTTTTATTAGTTTTTGAGAGCTCAGCAATACCAACATAAACAAATGGATCATTAAAAGAGTGATGTTTATAGTAGCCAGTCAAATTATCATGGGATAAAGTAAGATTTGTTTTTAGGTGCACTCAGAGAACAGAATACAAGATATTAAACTTCAGTGATAGCTATTTTATCCATTTGCTAATGCAGGTAGATAATAACTTTTAAAGAATCTCCGTAAAACAGGAAGAAAAATGCCTGTGGCTTAGCTTAACAAAAACCTAAAAGTACAACAGCCAGCATCGTCTAATTCCTGCGACCTAACAGTATTGACAAAGCACTGGAATCTTTAAAGGTCCAAGTCTTAATCAACTAAAAAGTCTCCAGTGCTTCAAATTAGGTGCTGCAACACCTATGGTTTAAAGTGCCTAACCCATACAGCACCAAAACCACACTGAATAACTAAGTTTCCCCCAAAATGTCCAGGTTGGGTGTCAACTGCGTGACACAGGAAAAAAAAAAAGTCAAGGGAGCAGTAAGAATCACAGAATCACAGACTGTCAGGGGTTGGAAAGGACCTCAAAAGATCATCTAGTCCAGCCCCCCTGCCAGAGCAGGATCACCTACAGCAGGTCACACAGGAACATGTCCAGGTGGGGTTTGAAAGTCTCCAGAGCAGGAGACTCCACACCCTCTCTGGGCAGCCTGGGTCAGGGCTCCGGCACCCACACAGGGAAAGTTTTTCCTAATACTTTTGTGGAACCTCCTACGTTCCAGCTTGTACCCACTGCCCCTTGTCCTGTTATTGAACATCGCTGAGAAGAGCCTGGCTCCGTCCTCCTGACACTCCCCCTTGACATATTTATAACCATGAATGAGGTCACCCCCCTCCATCATCCCTGTGGCTGCACTGGGCTCTCCAGCAGAAAGGGTCAGGTTTCCCTCACGTAACAGCGTAAGTCGGAACCCCAAGACGGACGCTCGTGTTGGCTCAAAATCAACACCTCTAGATGTCTGACGAGGGTAGAGGCGTCCAGCTCTCGGAGGCGGTCGCCCGGTTCGTTCCCTTTTAAAGCAGCTGCTGGAGGCGCAGCAGCCAGCGCACACATTTCCTGGGGAACTGAAGCTGAGCCCAAAGCCAGCCTGCAGAAGCACAGAGCTGAGATTTCAGGCCAAACGTGAAGCAGCTTAGGGAGTTTAAGAGGAATCCACGGACAAGTCGCTACAGCGTGAGGTGCTTGGAGCGGACCTGCCTAAGTGCTGCGGTAGTTATTTACACCATCTCTCAAATTCTGCCCAAACTGAAGGGTTTCTTCCCTTCTTTGTAAAAATCCACTTCATTACAGACTTCAACAGGCTCTTACTGGTCCTTAGGCTTGCAAAAAGAATTCTCTGAGAGTTTCTCACCAAAACACTGAGCTATTCTTTGTCCCTGGGAGCTTTTCAAGGCAGGTAGATGTGTCCTTATCCACAAACTGACCCTTGACCCATTCAAGTCAAGAAACAAAGGGCAATAAGAAACTATTTTGCTTACTCCCAATAGCCTGTCAGTAAACCCAGCCCATAACCATGTGTGACAGCTTTAAGGAACCCGTGACAAATGTGCATCTTGAGGGGAGCATAAACTTTGGGTTTGTCAACATGAAAAAAAAAAACCAAACCAAAATGATGACCGATCACCAAAGTGATGACCGACAGGGCGAGCAAGTACTGGAGAACCTCTTGTTCTATGTTTCCCTGTCACATTTCCCACTGTATTGCTGCAATACAAACATTTTCTGAGTAATCAAATTTGTCTCACATACCTTTTGTTATTCAGGAACCTGAATTACACACTCCAGACTGAGCTTTCACATTTTATACCTGTTTCCTTTTAATTCTGTACCTAAGCTGTCTGGCTCTCGGATGAGCACCCCTTCTGTATCAGCATCCAAGCAAGAAATTACAGCTTAGCTGGAAAATCTCAGGTCATCACATGGTTCGTTTGGACTCTTTAAGCTCGTTAATTCTGTAACTGTCTGTGGGATGGGTCTCTGGACACAGGACAACAGGGGTCTGCTCCAAAAGGCAAAGGAATTATCAAAAACCTCAACCAAACTCAGTTAATTTTTATTTGTTTAGTATTCAGGCCAAACTGTGAAAAAGACTTAGGGCACCTTGATAGTACAAATACGTAAAAGCTGAAATTCTGCCATTTCAGTGTTTGGTTTGTTGGCTCTAAAACAAGAAAGGCTACTGTAATACAGGATGATATTAGTTCATGCACAAGCAAATGAACTAGCCAGCAACCCAGTAACTTAGGCCTGAAAAACTTCTGGTTGTTTTTTTTTATATTCTGACAAATTCATTATGTTCTAGAACATGAGGGTTGGAAATCACAGGTTAACTTCAAGATCATACCAAAAAAAAAAAAAAAAATCATCGAAAGCACTGTGTTTATATCCAAGTCTTTAAGCTCATATTTTTATCATATTTCTGGGGGGAAAAAAGAAAAACAAACACCTAAGGAAAACAGTTTGGTGAGGTTTTTTGTCGGTTTTTTTTGCTTGCTTCTTCACCCCAGCAGGAAAATTATCTGGAATGGGCAAAAAGCACTGCATAGCTTTCTGCACAGTAAGAAAACGTAAGTGATGCAGGTGAAAGCTGTCTAGAGTTCAGTCTGACAAGAGGTTCATTTGCACACAGATAATAAAACTCCAGTTCTCACAGAAGACTAATTAAATGGTAACTTCTGAAATAGGCTAATCTAGTTTTGAAGCTAATTAAAAATAAATAGACCCCACTGAATTCACCTGGAGATGGGTTAAGCTGAGATGGAAACAAGTTTAACTGGTTAGGGGTGTTTCTCTGGTCGATCTCTTGTCTCCAGGTGGGTTAGCACCACAGAGCACCCAGTCGGTGTGGCTCCCACCTGCGTGCTGGAGGCACTCGGGGCCAAGGTCTGGGTGCTCACCATCACCTCCTTCCTTTCAAGATCTGGGTGTCTGCCACAGAATCTCTTTGGTTGGAAGAGACCTTTCAGATCACCGAGTCCAGCCACTAACCCAGCACTGCCAGGTCACCGCTAACCCATGTCCCTGAGCACCAGGTCAACATGTTTCTTAAACACCTCCAGGGCTGCTGATGCCACCACTGCCCTGGGAAGCCAGTTCCAACCCCCAATGACCCTTTCAGTGGAGAACTTCTTCCTAACACACAGCCTAAACCTCCCCTGGCACAACCTGCAGCCCCTTCCTCTAGTTCTATCGCCGCCTGAGAGAAAAGGCTGAGCCCTTCCTCTCTCCAGCCCCCTTTTGGGGAGTTGTAGAGAGCGACAAGGCCTCCCCTCACCCCCTTCCTTGAAGAGAAAGGGAGGTGTGAAGGCATAAAAGGAGGTTTTGTGTGTTCCAGCGGCTCTGCCAGCCTGAACTATGAGTACCGGGTAGTGACCCCTTTCAGGGCAAACAATTAAAGAGGAGCTGATGCAGAACTTTTCCCTGAGGAAACCTACCCGTGTTCAGGCAAGTAAGAAATACAGCAGAACCTATGATCAAGTGCAACCCCTAAGATTTAGGGGTTTGATACCAGGGGCTACAGCTGCAGAGATGTATTTTAGCATAGGTATATGACAGTGCATTTGTTAGATTGGTTTGAGCTAATTAACCCTATCAACCTTCAAAATCTCTTATGGGCCACAAAACTTCATAATACGAATATGTAAACCAAAAACGCTTTTTTTCTCCTCCTTTCTGTGGGCCACAGCCTTGAAATTCTAATATTCAGAACTGTCTCTTATCAGAACAAGTCCTCTTATGAAGTATGAATATGCTAATACACAAATCCAGTTATGAGAAAACTTAACTACCGGGATTACAACCTTGCCTGGATTATCCAGCTTTTGAGAGGAAGGAGTCACAAAGCTGATCACTCAAAAACATTAGGGATCTGACCGATCGGACTACGAAGACTTGACACATTTGAAATAACCACACTGTCTGAGAAAAACATGCTTTAGTCTTCTTTCACGCACAGAAACACCACGCACCGAAAACACACGTTCATCACCAGCGTTAGTGAGAAGTAATTTCTGATGCAGAACTGAAATTTCATTTTAAGACGCAGAAATAATCCTCACAAAAGGCTCTTCCAGGGGATAAAAAAAGAACAGCTTAGCTGTTATATATATGTATAGCTTAGATGTAAAAGCGTCCCTCCTGGACAGCGTACTGAGCACCATAAAGCTTGCGCTCCTTGGAAACGGAGGTGGACTCAGTCCCTGTGAAAATGAGAACATTGCCTCTGTGAAGAATTCACTTGAGCATTACATTGCGAAATGTGTTAAAAAAAATCTCCACAAAACAAAAGCCCAAGCTCTCATCGGTTCTTATACCATTTGTGCTGTTAAACGTATGGAAAACAGTTTACCTGCATATTTTGTGGTGTTTGATTCATCCATGGACCAGAAGCAGTGATCAAAGGCAAACACCTGTAGGAGCACACAAAAAGGCAAATTAAGAACTCTGACTACAAGACGTTTCTCTTAAAGCAGTACAAATCCACGACTGCAGTTAGCTCTGATAGTTTCTATGGACCCTGAACGAGAACTGCAGAAAGGCTTCGTCCAAACCTTTGGGGAAATCTTGCGAGGTGCAGAACCGAAACACTTCTTTGTCGTGTGTTATACACAGTGCAAAATAGTGTGTACTGTATCCCTTAACATAGGCTTCAAAACGCAGAGAAAAACCTAATAATTCTCTCCACTCCTGCCCATGCACTAATGCTGACCAAAGGTTCTGCCAATAGGAACGAAACAGGACCGAGAGAACTCCACACACAGAACTTGGCGAGACGACTCCTGAGCAGACATCAACACAAGAGTCGCGAAAGTTTTACTGGGGGCTGGATTTCTCCTGCCCAAAGAGCAGCACTACTACTTACAAGCCTTGAAGAGCAATGAAGTAGTACCAGATGACCTGCATAAAGTAAGACTACGGAACTGGATCTCAGTAGAGGAAGCTCAGAAACCACAAAGAGAAAAATGTATCTCTGTTAGACAAATAAGTTATGGGAGTCTGCTCTAACAAAAAGACTTAATATCACTTCAGCCAAGATTTCCAGCTGGACAGAAACTGAATTATATTCAATATTGTGCTCAGTGGGTTTGTGGAGCTGGACCGGTGTCCCATAAAACCAATGAACACACTGGGATTTGATCTGGGTTACTTTTTCTGCACATCTGAAAAGATCGTAATACAGACATTTAACACTGCTGTTTTGAAAGCTTCATACTTCCACATGCACATATCCCTTAAGCTGCAGCGTATTGCCCACATTTCACCACAGTAAACTGACTAGGGATGAATTAACGATATAGATTCTCTTTATTTTTTGTTTTCTTTTGAGATCCTAAGAGGTGGAGGGAAAAAAACCCACACAATCTTCTTTACTAAAACTTTGCCTGGGCCAAATTTTCTTTGCGTGGCCTTCCAACACCTTCGTGACACAAACCGTGCATGCAGGTCAACACGGAGCAAGTGCCTCAGACCCCACTAGCAGAAACACTAAAACGGTCGTGAAACAAATCCTGAAGCGAGGAATAAGATGGATCATTTCGGTTTTGGCTTCTGGCGATGTACAACATCTTGCTACTACATCTGGGGATGTACAACATCCCCTGCTACTTGCAGAATTACTGGGCAGTGGAATCTACAGATACAGCGTAAACTAACTCTTCCCAAAACGCCTGTTGCCGCAAGGATTTCCGAAGGAATCAAAGCACAGCAACCCCACCCTCCTTCCCTTTCCCCCAGCTTCACGCAAAACACATCAAATGGCCCAAGAGAAAACTCGACACTGGAACAACGCTTAGTCCGCAAGAACGAAATGAGTTCTGAATTCCCTTCTGAGGAGAAAAAACCCAAGAAAACGAATAATTACCATCATCATCATCACCTAACAGGGAGGCCCGAGTCACATACTGCAGCACAAATACAGGACGTTCCGTCACACGATGGAGTCCAAAATGTAGTTTTGCCACTGAACTGTAAACCCTAATTTAAATACCCAAATCTACCAGATTCCCTTTCTTCCCCCTTGCAACTGTTACGTGCAGTGGATCACGGAGCCCCGTTCAAAAGGTTACCCAGCTTCAGATGCTCATGTGTAACGACTTCAATACAGGAGCATTTTAGGCCAATTTCACCTATTGTCCTATGTGTTTTTTCCCTGGTTAACACGGAAAATCACGGCAGAATTATTCAATGACTCCCAATTTAAACACCTATCTTGCAAAGAGGCTTTAAAAACTAAAATAGGTGCTTGCAGCCAAGTGTTTCTTAAAGAAAAACAGGTTTAATTTGGATTTTTTTGGAAGGTAAAAATTGGACAGACTTTTTTCAAGGTTTAAAAATGGTTATGCAATAGGGAGAGAAAAAGTTCTGTCTCAAGATAAAACAAATGTAAATGCAGCATTTTGGCATGTTTTCATAGTAAACATAAGAAGCCAGGACATGGACCTAGTCTATTTATAAAATGTTTTGGAAAACTGCCAAATCCTTCTAACAGAAGTAACAAAATTACTTTTAAAACAAAAAAAAAACAGTGTCAGGCAAAGCCATTTTCAGAGGAACTCTGACCGTTGGGAAAACGGTTTCCAAACACAAGAATTAGCCGAGGATGAAATGAGGCACAGGAGAACCAGAATCTTGCTTCCAGCTGGCGAGGCTCCGGGGCGGTTCCATAGGGACGGCATTTTAAGGGAAACGCCTGTCGGCCGGTGTCCCACCTGAGGAGTGACCCTTTGGATCGGCTTTTCCATATCAAGGTGGTTTCTGTTTCCCTGCCCTCCAGGGCAGGCACTGCAGGACATGCAGACCCAAGAGGAGCACCCAGTCATACTTGGGGTCAAGATACAGAACGGATTATTCCAATTATTCTTCCTTGAAAACAACAACGGTGGGTGTTATTTTTTCCTTTTGACAGGAGTAATCTTTTTTTTTTTCTCCTATCCATTTTTTCTCCCCAAGATCTATTTCCCCAAAGAAGGTATCAAAACTCCCTGTCAATACGACTATCGAAGCTATAGGAACTTTTGTTAATGCTAAAGTCTCAAAGTCAATGGCCAATAAACAAATTGGGCATTATTGGGCACTGAAAACGACTTTTTAGCTTTTTGAAGAAAGTGAGAAAATCTTTACTGACTTACATCAAAGCTATATCAATGGACGATATCAAAACAACTACCGCAACATATATAAATGGGGAGATCTGTGAAACACAAACAGAATTCCTGAAAATTCAAGCACCCTCTGTGAATTAGTTTTTAACTACGTTTTGGAAAATCTATTCCATTTAGGTGTTCTAACGCTAAAAGAAAAAAAAAAAAAGCAAATATTTCTTGTTTGAAATGTAATGTTTAAAATTGTTACCTGCATTCCCATTAAGATTTCCTGAACTTTCAGCTATTCTTCTAAGCATTTTGAGTAAACCTCTGACTACATGGGCAAGTATTTCTGCTTTCCTACTGTTCTGTCATCAGTTCTACAGCCACCGTACCAGGAAGCTCAATGTATTTTCAGCAGGTAAGCAAAACGGGAAAATCACGAAAAAGACAAGTATACACCTACTCCGAGTGCCTGCACAGGCCAGCATTCAACCACGGGCAAACCTTCAGTCCACGGAAGTGTCGGTCGGTTCTCATAACCAGACCCAAAATTAGTTTGGGCTTTTAAATTCCAGAGGCAATGAATGGACAAGCCTTAAAATTGTCTTATTTTTGCAAGAGTCTGTGCATCATACTAGCATCTAACAGAAAAAAATGAGATAAAAGGAAGCTGCCAAGATCCTGCCCCACTAGGGTAGTAGCTTCTAAACCGAAAATTTTTAATGAAGCTCAGCGGATTTTTTTTTCCCCAGCTCTATTATTCCAGTGTTTAACATCGCACAATATTTCTGATCTTGACTGGTACAAGTTGCAAAAAAAGCTTGAAGATGGCAATTTAGACATCTAGAAGTAGTTGAGCAACAGGCAGAGCTACAAGCAATGGTACATGACCCACCAGGACAGATCTTGCGTGACCGCAAGTCCATAGTAAAACTAAATATAAGAGCTTGAGTATGTACTCATTGTACAAAACAGAATCATAGAACGCGTTGGGCTGGAAGGGACCTTTAAAGGTCATTCAGTCCCACCCCCTGCAGTGAGCAGGGACACCTTTAGGTTGCTCAGAGCCCCATCCAGCCTGGCCTTGAATGTCTCCAGCAATGGAGCCTCCACCCCCTCTCTGGGCAACCTGTGCCAGGGTCTCACCGCCCTCATAGCAAAGAACTTCTTCCTAACATCTGATCTAAATCTACCCCCTGCTCTAGTTTAAAACCATCGCTCATCATCCTGTTGCTACTTGCTCTCGTAAGCAGCCCCCCCCAGCTTTCCTGCAGCCCCTTTGGGCACTGGGAGGCCGCTGCAGGGTCTCCCCTTTAGGGCCTTCTCCTCTCTCCTCTCTCCTCTCTTCTCCAGGCTGAGCAGCCCCAGCTCCCTGGGCCTGTCCTGGCAGCGGAGCGTTAATGGATGGGACATCTCCCTGGTGAGGAAAGGCTGAAGGAGCTGGGGCTCTGCAGCTTGCAGGAGGCTGAGGGGTGACCTCATTGGTGTTTATAAATATGTAAAAGGTGAGCGTCAGGAGGACGGAGCCAGACTCCTCTCAGGGATGTCTAATGACAGGACAAGGGGCAATGGGTACAAGCTGGAGCACAGGAGGTTCCACAAAAATATTAGGAAAAACTTTTTCGCTGTGCAGGTGCCGGAGCCCTGGCCCAGGCTGCCCAGGGAGGGTGTGGAGTCTCCTGCTCTGGAGACTTTCAAACCCGCCTGGACACGTTCCTGTGTGACCTGCTGTAGGTGATCCTGCTCTGGCAGAGGGGCTGGACTGGATGCTCTTTTGAGGTCCCTTCCAACCCCTGACATTTTGTGACTCTGCATTCTAGCTCCCTGATCATCTTTGTGGCCTCCTCCTCCTGCTCCAACAGGTCCATGTCCCTCTCCTGTTGGGGACTCCCGAGCTGGACAGGTAGAACTCCAGGTGAGGTCTCCCCAGAGCAGAGGGGCATTCTTTCTAAGAATTTTAACTCATAAATACTGCAGCACAAACACATGAAACTGGAAAGTTCGGAGAAAGAATGAGCAAGGAAGTGCAAGAACCTGCTACTCCTGAAAGCAGAGTCACAGTGAGCATGCACCTTACCCTGGGGAACAGAGTCACACAGGTGATTTCTAGGATAGAGAGAACAGTACTCAGAGTGTTAATAGCTATTAGAAATTAAACAAAAAACTCGCTCTCGTAACCACAAAGTTTCAGTAAAGATATGAGCCTCTAATTCAGATTTCTTAGCAAACACCTACAGCAGGTTTAAGACAGCTGCTAGTATTTTGCGAAGGAGGCAGCTACAGGTTGTGGCGAGACAGCAACAAAGCTCCACGTATCCACCGTGTCAGTGAAAAATGCAGTTTTATTTCAAATTCACCTGTACCTGTGGCTTAAAAAGAGGCTGTAGATTTCAAACTAGAAGAGCCATTGTGCCTGACTTCTCATGGAATCAGAAAAGACAGCCAAGGGATATTCCCTTTTCAAATAGCCAAAATGATATTCTGCAGAACTTGTTTTTATTAAAGCCCCTAATCCGTGGCTTGAAGAATTAACAATTTTAAGAGTTTACATATGCAAGTATAATTCTGTGAACTACTTACAGGTACCGAGTACCATATCCTATATTAACCACTTGCCAGATTAAGCCAAATGACATAATTAGTTTAGAAAGGAGTCTAATTTCACATTCCTTATTAGTTGTTCTGAAGCCTAATCCTTGGTATAGACTAGGCAGAGTCTGGGGCTTCCAGCATTTAGCAACGCATTACCCAGCCCGATCATAATCCCTGACACACTGTCTGTGTAGCTATAAAATTGTGTCGATGCAGAGCTAACGGCGAGGCGGCCAATTAATTGTGGTGGGATTTTTTACAGAAAAAATAAAGTCGTACTGGGGGAGAAAAACAACAACCAAAAAAACCCCTCAAAACCAAGTTGGTCACTGGATGACAAACACCAGACCTAAAGAAGTACGGACAGAAAATCCAAAGGCAGCCTCGGGGTCAGCTCAGAACAGCCGTTTTTTGCCTTTGTCACAAAATGATGCTAAAAGCCCAGGATTAGTCATATGCTTAAACGTGAGGTTTGTAGAAAGAGCAAAACACCCTAATAGCCTTATGTAACTTCTGCCACGCCAGCTTCTGAGCTCCCAGGTTGAACTGGGACCACAGTTCATCCAGAGCTGGTGATAAACTCGCTCATTAAATACAAACTTGCAATATTTACAAAATTTCATTGAAAAAAAAAACCACAAAAAACAAGCTAGTTGAAGATCAGCTACGTGTGGTACCCTAAAAACTATATAAATCAAGAAACTTCCAAACCTCCTGTGATATCTCTACAAACGTGCAAAACCAATTTCCGCCAAGAGCAAGAACCTTCTGCCTCACGCTGGTGAACGCTTTGCACAACACCAGAAGTTCCAGCATTTTATGTTAGGGATGTTAACGACTGTACAGAATAACGTGGTATATACGCAAAAGTGAGTAGTTGTTCTGGTTTTGTCGAAGAAACGCAAGGCCATAATTAAATTTTTTACGTAATGTCAAGAATAACTTTGTAAAGGCATGTAAGTGATGTATGATGGAAAATAAAGGCTCTTGTAAAAAGTTTTTGTGCAATTACAACAGAAAGGAGAATTTTTTGCTTTTTCAGATTTATTTAACAATGATCAAACTCGTTTGTATTAGACAGTAACAGTGATTGATAAAATCTTATTCAATGCTTTCAGGGAAATTGAGAAACTAAAACCAGGTCCACCATTTTAAGAAATTCAATCATTCGGGAGGAAGAAATAAATCAGTACAGCACATCATTGTAAATTAATATCAGTGTTATTAATTTTCATCTACTGTGATCTTCAATTACCTTTTTGTTTGTTTGTGTGTTGCAAATAAGATTATTTCAATTTGTGTTAAAATAGTTTGCTCCGTTCTTCCTTGCTGTTGGGAATATTTGCTTACTGAAAAGTTGGTTTCTTCTGACACTTACAAAAGATAATGAAAACAATAGACTATTAATTCCTGAGCAGCCTCTACTGCAAGCAAGAAGAGTGTTTCTCACTAGTTGTGTTCTGCCACTAGTATTCTAACTTTGAAGCGGAATTACATGCAATGAAATGCCTTACACACAATATTTACTCTTTCAGATGTTTTTATGAATGCATTGAAATCATGGCTTGTCCTGGGCACAGGTTTAACAAGTCATGTGCCTCACCCGCATGTCAGTTGGATTAAAATTTATTGTTCTGGAATCGTGGAGTCTTTAACTTAAAAAAATCTGTTCCTCGTACTTCTAACGTATTTTCCTTTATCAAAACTGTACTGACCATATACTAGGGCAAACACGCTCAACACTTGTGCATCACTCAACATTTTCAATGGATAGAAATGCAAAAAGATACAAAATACTCACCTTAGGTGGTTTTCTAGATGATTGGCAGAAAGAGTCGGCAACGATGATGAGAAGTACGAATACACCGTTCACGTAAAGGGAAGGGAGCAAAGAAAAAGAAGAGACAAAGTCAGTGTACAGCACTTCTACAATCTGACCTTTTGTGTAATTCACAATGTATTTAAGAATTATCAGACTGGAAGATATAAATATGATACGCTGCAAATTTTTAACTGGCAATTACTTAGCTAACACAGCCCCATATGACAAAGAAAAGGAAAATGTCAGAGTCCTTGTAGGTATAAAAATGCAAGAGCACAGGGTTCCAGAAAGAAGACAAGGATCTGTTTTGTGGTGGAAGTCAAGATGCAGCTCCCGTCTTTGGTGGCAAAAAAGAAAAAAAATGTCTGCAGACTGACAGACCGGGGTGCCAGGGTGAAGTCCTGCCGGCTTCAGCAGTGTCACATATGCAAGATCAAGGTAAGAGAAAAAGAAACCTGTGCTTTCCCCAGCCCCAGAAAACCTGCATGGAGCACAGCGAGCCAACACAAAACCACCGTCGCCCTTCGCACACGCGACTTCGAGCGCTGTCAGAAATAAAACAGGAGAGACAAATCCCCAAACTGAAGACACCACCTCTGAGTACTTCACATTGTCCTTAAAGGCTTTGATGCTTCTGCTGGTAGCCATGTGGCCACGGAGTGAATGAAATCAGTCTGGGGTTTTTGGTGGGGCTGGTTTCAACTGAGATCGCTGCCCGGTCTCCCCGTGCAGCCCCGTGCCCACTGACACCAAAGCAATAGAGGAGGTGAAAATATGGTGCAGAATTAAGACTGATTTAGGTCATTCACGAAGATGACAACCTTAAGCACGCGTTTAAATGATGTACCCAAATAAACCTGAAGTGATACACAGAAGAAATTTCCACTTGCTCTTCACATGAAGAAAATTCGTAAATATGGATGAGGAGAAAAAAAAAAAAACAACCAGAAAGGTCTACAGACAAAACCAGCACAAGCAGAGAACATGGTAAGGTTTGTGAGATAAGGACAGGGATGAAAGGTCTCTACCTAGCCAGGCACAGACACACTGCACAAAATTCAAAGATACCAAGAGACTACAAGGCTCAGAGCAGAAGGCACTGAGCCACCCACCAACCTACACATACTGACCAGCCAGAGAGGGGCAGAAAGGAACACTGAGCAGTTCTCTTGGCAACCCACAATACAACAGCTCAGCAAACCAAAGCTGAGGAGCCACGAATCCACAAACAGACCTTTTGCAATCTTTGCTGCCTACTCTCAGCTCGTACCTTGGATGACACGTCTGCCTGAACCAGAAGTTCTGCAGCTGGAACACAGCACCGGCGTAACGCAAACACGCCTCACCTCGGAGCCAAACGGCTCCGTGCAGCTTTACCCTTTCAGGAGTGGTGGCTCCACGGGCTCCGTTCGCAGCTGCCTCGTGTCCAGGTGGCTCAGAACTTGGGTAGAATGTGCCCTTATCCAACTGAAGAATGCATTTAGCCATACCTTGAATATTTTTCACTTTAATTAATTTTCAGATGTGATGGAAACCCAACGTTATCTAGCCACGGTCTCATTGCCAGCTCTAAACTTCCAGTTCCTACGTGGAAGTTCCTATCAAAGGAAGTCATCCAAGGTGTTTTCAAAAGCTTTTAAATACATTCATATCTTGAAAAATAATTCCAGAATGCATCAGCTTCCCTATGATATTCCTGATAAGACTGCTTTACAGGTTCAGCAAAAGCCCTAAACGGTTTAAATGAAGGAAAAGCCAACAAAGTTCATCAACTTACTTTCCCCCGCCCCATCTGAGATCATTCTTATAAGCCCCAACTGGAAAAGGTACGGAACATCACTGAAGTAAAAAAATGGTTGGACACATTTCTTAAGATGTTTACTTAAGCAACACAAGCCACAACCTTATAGGAAGTTTCCTCTTATTTTCCTCATTTTAAGAAAAGCAGAATTGCGACTTTTGAAACCACTGGTGGACAGCAGAGCTTTCCGGCTGGAAGGCAGGTGCTCAGCACCGATCTCCTGCATTTCAAAGCCTGAGGAGCTTCAGCCTCCCACTGTATGTCACATCCCACTGCCCCAAAGTCTTCGGCACCAAAGACCAAACTAGGAACTCCACAAATCACCCGCTGGCATCACCAGCAGCAATACGATCAGGGGCCTCGCGAGGAAGTCAGTTCTATCAGCTCGCAGGAGAGATTTTTATGATTTGTTTTTTAAGCTATTTGGAAAATTCCAGCCAACCAACTCACGATAATCATTATCCTGGCAGCGATTCAGATGGAGCCACTCTGAACTACTTTCTCCAAGCAAAGGACTCAGACTAATAAACCGAGAACCATTTACAGCTTTCCAGAAATCACATCTGTAGTAGCTTAAATACATACTATAAAACTTGCATTAGCTTCAATCAATTTTTCACTTCAAGTTTTTGTTGTTTGGGGTTTTTTTGTTTGTTTTAATATGTGCCTTATGGGTTTTTTTTCCTCTCTCAGCAGCTTTCAGCTTCGTAGGTAATTGAATTTGTCTCAGTTTTTACCAAACGCTGACCACAGAAACATGGTGATTCACTGTCACTGCTGGGGAAGGACGGACAACAGATCAGAGATACTTATAAAATTTTTATTTCCCAGAATTGTGAATTCCATGTCTCATCATCCACGGTGTTGACGACAACGTGCTGGTACACATTCTGGACGACAACAAAATCTCCTCTAAAGCAAACAGGTAGAAAATTATCACAGAGCTACCTAACTTGCAGTGCATCTGCACAGCAGCAGATTTGGGTTTAACCTGACGTAAGGCACCTTCCATCTGCACGCTCGGATGGAAGACTGACTTTTCTCGCATGCCTAGAATGCAGATACCACCAAAAGCCTGAAAAATATTCTCACAGGCCGGAAGAAAAATATTAATTTCCACGACCACAAAGGCCACTGAGCTTTGGAACTTCCTCCTGCCTTTAAGCCATCATGATTTTAGTACAGCATCCCTAGAATGATTTTTCTAACTTTACTGAGCAGAACGTCAGCTGCAGGGATCTGCTCAGCCCTCATCTTTCACAACAGCACTAAGCCTCTCCTGCCCTGCTTGGCCAACACACACCGAGATCGTGGAGCTACCTCAGATTTTCATCCGGACAAAGAAAACCAATTTCTAGACAGCTCTGTGCTAACACAAAGATTATTTTCTCTCTCCCACTGTCTCACGCTAAAACTAAACCCATAATGCTTCTCACATTTGCTAAGTGACTCACAAAATATCAGTCCTCATGGTCTACGAGCACATCAATAAGAAGTCTTCCTGACTGCATCCACATTTTGTCTCTACCATCTACTCATGACGCCACACAATGAGGAGTGTGCTCTGCTAGCAGTTTAGCAAAAACAAAGGTTGTTTCTTCTTTAACTGCCTACAGTATTTCACGGGAGTCTCCCTTGGCCTTAGAAAAAGTTGACTGAAAAAGCTGGCATTACACATTCTCACTCGAAAACTAGTCCCACGCAATAGGAAGCAACAGAAGACCCTCTTGTACTATGAGCATCCAGAAGTACACAATACTTATATCTTAAAGACTTAATAATCTTCAAGAGCATACCTGGTTTTTGTTCTTTAGAGAGTATTATCAGCATTCCCAATCAATTATCACTTCTACCAGAAAGTAAAATATTTTATGCATCAAAAATTGTTTTTCTTCTCCCCATTCCATATAATAAGAGTTTCATCACACTGCCCACCTCCAGTCAAAATCTCACCTTCAGTAGGGACAAGGTACATTTGAGGATGAGGAAGTAGGTGTAAAAACCAGGTACTCCCCATTGAAGGAGACAGAGGAACAAGGCATCTTGGAAAAGCAAGTCTGAGATTCTGTGGAACAGCATCCACACAGCCCAATTCCCCTCCAGTCCGGCTGGGCTAAGAAGCCAAGTAGGTCACCGCCATACTATAATTATTTCACATTTTGCAAAGTATTCAGTCGATTCTTTCCCTTTCTCACAATTAGCTAACGAAGACGAAGCACTCCTAACCAGCTCTGTTAAGTAACCACCCGCAGTAGCTGTGGCAGATGACGAGTGAAGCACATGGCTTTGCAGCCTGCTCTTCCAAGCTGACCACATCAGAAATCACCCTCTAAGACACCGAGCCTGAAATACCTTTTGGCTCATCACATGCGCAATCACAGCAAATTCAGGGTACACACTGTCTTCCCAAATATATAATTATTTGCACGCAGTGGCTACACAGTTATGGAGGTACTCCTCAGGATCACTGGTCAAAAGAATTATTACAATTCTATATATTACAATTATATAGACCATATATTATAATAGACTAGAAAGGAGAGAGGAGTTTTCAGGTTTTGTACCGTGAGATGAAGAAACCTGCCTACCCTCTTTCCTCTGTAAGCATAAAGATGAGCAGATTGAAATGATCGTCCAGATAGATAAAAATAATATTGGGTTTTTTACATTCTGGTTTTTAAATCAGCCTGCCTTGCAACTCAGGCTGATAGTGTCACCGGCCACGTGCGCCTGCCTCAGTGCACAGGAAGAAACCAGTGGCAGGAGAAACACAACGAGGGACTTTCCTTTATGGGGTGGCAGTACCTGTGCTGCTTCTTTACCTGCATGTTGAAGGCTTCCAGAGTGGCCGCAAACACTGTAAATTATGTAGAAGCACAGAGATGATGTATCTTTTATCTTTCACTGTAAGATCACGTGGCTTCTAGAACCTCTGGCTGCCTCAGGTTTATCAGGCAGCCTGTTACTTGCAGGCTGGATACCAAGTATCCTAAGAAGCACACCTCTAGTATTAATGGCACTCAAGTACTTCACAAAAGCACTTCTTTGGAGAAAGAAAAAGAAAGAAAAAGGAAGAAAAATTGCAGTTTGCCACAGTAACAGTTTCGGATGATCCTGTACTGCAAAGCACTAGCAGCACACCATCTTCTCTACAAAGAGCACAGAGAAAGGACGTTCATTTCCCCTCGTCCCCTCTTGTTTTCTAAATGCAGATCATCCAAAGACGGGCCAGGGGCAATGCCTTGAAAGGGAAGAGTGGCCCACCCTTGTGCTTGGCTGGGCCACCTCCTGTAGAGCTGACATCACAATTTGATACTAGGATCCCTGGAATCCTTTACATACTGCATGAGCACACATACATCCCCAAATATACCTAGTTATTTGATGTCCTTGCATAAGGTGGGTAGCACATGTCCTGTTTAATTAACCTGTTTAATCCTCCCACCCAGCAAACGTCTGTTCCATTGATAAAATAGAATCATAGAACATGTTGGGCTGGAAGGCACCTTTAAAGGTCATTTAGTGCAACCCCCCCTGCAGGGAGCAGGGACATCTTCAACCAGATCAGGTTGCTCAGAGCCCCATCCAGCCTGACCTTGAATGTCTCCAGGGATGGAGCCTCCACCACCTCCCTGGGCAACCTGTGCCATGGTCTCACAGTAAAGAACTTCTTCCTAACATCTAATATAACTCTGCCCCGCTCTAGTTTAAAACCACTGCCCCTCGTCCTGTCGCTATACATACCCTAAACAGTTAAAATAATCCTTTGAAGAACAGCAAAAGAACAACGTTTTTAAAAGTGAAGCAATTTGAAGAAGTGTCTGCATCATAAGGTAGGAGCCCATCACAGTCAGAACCACCCCAGGAGGAGACGCGCGCTGTACACGCAGGATACTCTCTCACGCTTTATGGAAACGCTGCATCAAGAAGCTGTGGTACTGCAAACCTACCACGTGTAACGAGAGAAAAGTCAGGCACCAAAACAAGAATGACAAATACTGCAGTGCATTTTATACAAAATACAGCGTCAGAGTGACTGCCACGGCACAAAAGAAACCTAGAAAATACCTGGATATTTCACCGTAACAGGGTTCCACTCCAAGAAAGAAAATAAAAAAAAAGAAAAAAAACCCCACAAGACACAACAGGTTATGAAACCAATACAAGCTCATTAAAATAAGTGAAAGACATTATATATAGGCATTATATTCTGATATTTACAAGGTGGAGAAGAGAAAGTGACAACTGCCCTGGAACAGCACCAGTCCCTAACTTACCTTTTCTCCCAAGTTTTGACTGTTTTTGCTGCCCAGGGCATTATTATTCCAATGACAGCAATTTGCTGGTATGAAGTTCAAGCAATACTAATCTTCACACAAGAAGCCTTTGTGTTTATGTAAAAACAGCCCCAAAACAGGCTGATACCTGTTCCACACGCAACAGCCTGCCGCTTCGCAAACAGCCATCGGCCTGAGACAAAAATCAACACCCATAAGCACAAAGATTAATCTATCACTTTGCTAGAAAGTGCACTAAAAAACAAAAAAAAATACATTTCTGTCCACCCCTGCACATAAAATAAGCTTTAAAAAAATCTCATTTAAGTTAATTTGTTTAGCTTTACTGAAAAGTAAAAAAACTGACTAAAACTGTCATTCTGCTCTAACAGCTCTAACTCGGTTCTGAC